ATAGCTCACAATCATCTACAGCAAGATTTAATGCCCTCTTCTGACATTCAGGCAGTACACTGTATACATAATAAATAAATAAATCTTAAAAAAAATTTCAAACTTTGGCAATATGAGAGATCACCCACAGCTACCTCTAAATAAATTCTTGTTCTTTCGCCCCATCTTATTCTTTTTTAAAAAACTTCTTTTAACTTTATTTATTTATATTTATTTAGTATACAGTGTTCTGTTTATATGTGTGCCTAAAGGCCAGAAGAGGGCACCAGATCTCACAACCTCTGGAAGAGCAGTCAGTGCTCTTAACTGCTGAGCCATCTCCCCAGCTCCCTCCCTGCATCTTATTCTTAAGCTGCTAGTCAAATGATTATTTACGACACTAACTATATAACATATGAATTTATTTATTTGAGGCAGGGTCTTGTTAAGTGACTCAAGCTGGCCGTGCAGTCATGCTAGCCCTCCTGTCTCAGCTTCTTAAGGGATGACAATTGAGTCCCACCATGTCCAATTGCATCTTGTTCATCTTGGGTTTTTTTGTTTTTTTGTCTTATTTTTGTCTTTTTGAGACAGGGTGTGTAGCCCTGGCTGTCCTGGAACACACTCTGTAGACCAGCCTGGCCTCGAACTCACAGACCAGTTTGGCCTCGAACTCACTACCCGGCTTACATCGTGTTTTTCTTTTTCCTTTTTCTTTTTTTTTTTTTTGAGACAGAATTTCTCTGTGTGTCACTAGCTGTCCTGGAACTAGCTCTGTAGACCAGGCTGACCTTAAACTCACAGAGATTCACCTGCCTCTGCCTCCCAAGTGCTGGATTAAAGGTGTGCACCACCACCACACAGCTACATCTTTGTGTGTGTGTGTGTGTGTGTGTGTGTGTGTGTGTGTGTTTGAGACAGGGTCACGTGTAGCCAAGGCTAGTCTTGAACTTTCTATGTAGCAGAGGATAGCCTTGAACTCTTGATTCTCCTGCCTCTACTTTCTGTGTGCTGAAAACAGGTGTTTAACATCACACATGTTTTTTATATCTGACTATCTTATTCCTTCACTTTCTCTGGAGCCTTTCTGAGCTTTCAGAGGTAGCTATCGTACACAGCAACTGTGGTAACCTTCTCTCCCAGACCCACTGTGTTCCTAAAGATAATCAGAGTATTCCTCTTGTTCTTCAAACAAGCCTAATAATTTTTGTACATGAAGTACTCAAAACACATTCTCCAACCAAGTCTGCTCAGACACCATTTGATCTACTCCTGGCAACCTCAGGGTGGGATCCACATCTCTGCACACCTTGTTCCTCAGTGGCCTCTTTGTGGAGAAGTTTGATCCAGGAGTCAGGACACAGTACTGTTTTGGACTTGGTCACTCCAGGGACTGCATGAGTACCTTGCTCTCCTCTAGGAGTGAGTCCCCTTGCCCTGCATACTCTCTGCTCCTCATGGACTGAGTACAGGGTGTCCTCTATTCTAGACCTTGACGCGGGTGTGAGTTTACGGTGTGTCTGATTTGAGCCGGTATTACTGGTATACTGGTATTAAGTACATTTCTCTCCACCAGAAGATTCAAATGCCTGGGTAAACAATTCAGAGACAAACTCAGAGTAAATCTCATTCTTCATACTGACCATAGAATCAAGCCAGATTCTGGAATTCCTAAAGCATGTTGTTTACATGATCATCCCACTCTCACTCCCGTGTTCTCTCCCTCTCTCTTATCTACTTTTTTGTGTGTTTTACCTGCATGTATGTATATGAAACTTGTGTGTGCCTGCTGCCAAGGGGGTCAGATGGGGGCATCAGATCCTCTGGAACTGGAGTCACAGAGCTTGTGAGGCACTGGTGGGTGCTGGGAATCCAACCTGGGTCCTCGGTAAGAACAAGTGCTCCTAACCGATGAGCTGCCTCTCCATCCCCACCAAAATCTCTAAGTCTTAGAGTAGAATACCAGCTTGATGTTATAGGGGCCAATCAAATGTGGCCACTTAAGCAAAACTGGTCATGAATGGAGGGAATACAGGTCCAGTGGTGCCAAATGTTCTGATTTTTAAAATTGTACATGTGTATGTATGTAAGTGTAGTATGTGCATGTGTGTGTAGTGTGTGTGTGGTGTGTGCTTATGTGTATGTGTGTAGTATGTGTGTGTAGTGTGTGTATATGTGTATGTATGTGTGTATGTGTGTGTGGTATGTGTATGTGTGTAGTGTGTGTAGTATTGTATGATGTGTGTAGTGTGTATGTATGTGTTAGTGTGTCTCTGTGTGTAGTATGTGTATGTGTGCATGTGTGTAGTGTGTATGCATATGTATGTGTGTGGTGTGTATATGTGTGTAGTGTGTATAGTGTGTGTATGTATGTAGTATGTGTATGTGTGCATGTGTGTGTAGTGTGTGGTGTGTATGTGTGTGTAGTGTGTATGTGTATGCATGTAGTATGTGTGTGTATGTATAGTGTGTGCGTGTGAGTGCAGGAGGATGGTGCAGCATAGAGGACAACCTTGTGGAGTTTGTCCCCTCTTTCCACTTATATATGGTTTCTAGAAACCAAACCCGAATCGTCATACCTTCACAGCAGATACTGCCAGGCATCTCACCAACCCGGATGTTCTGGTTTAAAAAATTCAAATGTAGGCAGGCTGTGGTGGGGCACGCCTTTAATCCCAGCACTCTGGTGGCAGAGGCAGGCAGGGGAGTTCCAGGACAGCCAAGGCTACACAGAGAAACCCTTTCTCAAATGATAAAACAAAAAACTAAATAAATTCAAATATAAAGCTAAATGTATGGCTCATTTGTAAAGTGTTTGCCTACCATAGCTACAACTGAGTTCCATCTTCAGTAGCGTGCACGTGGGCACACACACCCGCACCCTCGGAGAACTCTGGTCATTTTTAATGCTGCGGTTAACTTCCTAGGTTATTCTTTTTGTTTGTTTGTTTTTCCGAGACAGGGTTTCTCTGTAGCTTTGGAGCCTGTCCTGGCACTAGCTCTTGTAGACCAGGCTGGCCTCGAACTCACAGAGATCCACCTGCCTCTGCCTCCCGAGTGCTGGGATTAAAGACATGTGCCACCATCGCCCGGCCCTAAGTTATTCATTTTGTGAATAACTGGAGCATAAAATTGGGGCCTTGCCTGTACTTGACCCGTGCTCTCCATTAATCTGTTCCACAGCCTTTTTGTTTTCTAAGCATTTTACTTTGAGACAGGTTTCACTAAGTTCAGGCAGTCCTTGAACTTGTGACCTTCTGGACTCAGTCTCTTGAGTAATCAGAATACAGCCCAGTGACACCCAGTCTAACAAATTTAAAAAGCTGGTCTACAATAGCTAGTTCCAGGACAGGCTCCAAAGCCACAGAGAAATCCTGTTTCGAAAAACCAAAAAAAAAAAAAAAAAAAAAAAAGCAGTCAAGTCAAGTGGACCCACAGAGCACCCTGGTGGGTTTGTTCAGGGACCAGTGTGACCTTTCTGTTCTTCATTTTTAAGACAAGGTCTTGCTATATAGCCCTAATTTATATGGAACTTCACAGCCCACCTAGGCTGTCCTCAAATTCTTGGTCCTCCTGCCTCGGTCTCCTGATTCTTGGGATTATAGGAACAAACAATGTTCAGCTACTTGTGATTAGCTTTTGGGGTGAAGGGATTAGTCTCAGAAGACTTGGATGAGCCGAAGCCAGCAGGCACGGGACGAATTCCTGTGGACTCCATGGATGCTTCCTCCAGACTAGGGCACCGCCCCTTTGCTGACACGCCCATGCCCATGCTCCGTTCAGGACATTCAATGAAATCTCAATGAAATGGGAAGCACAGTCACTGTCTTCCCTCTCTGGAGACTTAGTTCCTGAGGTCTGAGGGAACAGAGTCTACCAGGCGGTGTCAGGATCTCAGATGACAACTCCTCTTTTTTAGACAACTGAGTAGCCTCTTTTTTTAAATCTATTGTTATTATTTGTGTAGTGCCTGCATATATGGTTATGCTACATGTGCAGGACACCTGGAGTCCAGAAAAGGTGTCAGATCTCTCAGGAATGCCCCTATGAAGGTGCTGGGGATTGAACCTGGATCCTCTGGAAGAGTGGCTAATGCTCTTAACCCTAGAGCTATTGCTTCCCCAGCTCTGTCTTTTTTTAAAAAAAAAAAAAAGTTTGAGGACATAGTGAGAGCCTCAACAAACAAGCAAAACATATATAACATCTTTATTAGTTAGCTGAGGATTTCATACAATGTAGTTTGATCATACTCGTCCCCCACACATTCCCTGTGCTTCTCAAATCCACTCTGGGACAGTTGCTATGCCCCTCTATTACAGAACCTGAGTGGGTTTTGACAAATCCAATTTCTCTCTCATCTTGCAGATGCATAGGGCACCAGGGTGGGCTACAGAGGAACAAATCCTGTTTCCTAAGTGCAGTCAGGGATCCAGACCTCTGCCTCAGTCTGGGAGCACCCACTTAAATGAATCCAGGGGCCTCATAGACAGTATATGCTCTTCCGATGTGCGGGGTGAAGGAGAGAACGGCTCTGCTCCTTCCACTCAGAACAATGGCACTCCTTTAAGGATGACTACAGTCTTTGAATCATCAAACACTCAAGTCTGTCTAAAAATACACCTTCTGGATTGTTTTGTTTGTTTCGTTTGTTTGTTTTGAGACAGGGTTTCTCTGTGTAGTCCTAGCTGTCCTGGAACTCACGCTGTACACCAGGCTGGCCTCGAACTCAGAGATCTGCCTGCCTCTCGAATGCTGGGATTAAAGGCTTGCGCCATAGCCCTGCGTGTCTTCAGCTTTTCTGTCTCAGTGTTCACCGACACTGCTGGATGGAAGTAATCATTGTGAACCGGCACTATGGTTCTGACCCTATCTCCCAAGTCAAGACAGGTGCAGCTGAGGCTGGAGACCCCCTGAACCGGAACCCTCGAAGCTGGGAACCCTGTAAAGCTGCAGTTAAGCAGGAATGGGATCAGGAAGGGACTTCCTGTTGTCCCTAATCCCAGCCTCCACCGGGTTTCCCGGCCCGTTCAGTTCTGGCTGCAAAGACCCGCTCCACCCCCCGGGAGAGGGCCTCCACGACTCCCCAGGTACCTCGGTTGCCTCTGAAAGGGGCGGTTGGGAGGGCTCCTGAAAATCGATTTGTGCAGTCAGCTTGCAGAAAGGGACAGGGTCAAAGGTTGACGGCTTCAGACTGGCCAGAGAGAGTAAGGAGGCTGAACCCAGGATGGGGAAGGTGAGGACAGGACCCACCCGGATCGTGACTAGGACGCACATATCCAGGGAGGAAGCCGCGACTTTGAAAGAACTGCCGATACGGGGATTCCAGGCGGAGCCGTGTCCAGCTGGGGCACACGGCAGCCATCACCTCTCTGGCAACTCTTTTGTAAGCTCTCCGAAGAACTTTCTGCGCCTTAGGACAAGAAACCCTGACTCCGGTTTAGCTCTCACTTTCCCTGAGCAGGCTTACTGAGATTTGAGGTTCTTGCTTCAGTGACAAAGGGGACAATACATTCAGCACGGGACTCCATAGGGTCTGGCAGACCTCATTTGCACGCTGGTCAGACATAAGGAATGCTGGGCACTTGGGAAGTCCCCAGATACTGATTTCTTAACTTTTTTGCAGTATCCTGGCTAAAACCTGGCGGGGGCTTGACGATCAGGGGAGAGAACCATCTGCTGTTCTTCCTCGGGCTGATACAGAAGATGCCTGCAGACAGTAAAAGTATCCTGGCAGCGGAGAGCGAGGAGAGAACCCATGCGGTATGGTGGGGTCCTGGGGAGGGTGGGGTGCCTTGGAATGGAGCAGAGGGGATTTTCAAAACCGCTATCTGGATTAAAGGAAAGGTGAGAGTCACTGTAGGGGTGGGGCTTCCAGATGAGGGCGCTGGGCAGGGGTGTGGGGGAGGAGCGGCATCATGGGAAATATCTCCCAGTGGGTCTTTAGGGTGAGTGTGCTTATGCTGTCTGGTAAGAGGCATGGCGCTCACAGAACACGGGAAAGGCTTCTCCTCCCCGCTCACTTCCTCCTGGGCTATGCCCCCTCATGGCTTACCTCTCTTAGACTGAATTCTAGTTCTGCCTGTAACTGCTGCCTGCCCGTGTGTGTGTGTGTGTGTGTGTGTGGAGGGGGGGGGGGGTGTTGCCACCATTGGGGGTTGAGGCTCTCTGGGCTTGGAGCTAAGGGACTCTGAGTTAGTTTCCGGCCTGCTGTGTGACCCCGGGCCAGTGCCTGACCTGTGGGACCTACTCTTGCTCTGTGTAAAGTTGAGTCATCCGCTTGCTGTTCCTGCCTGAAAGGGATCATGAGTGTGAGAGTCATCTGTAAACAGTTGACCAGCTTGTGTCTGATGTTTACTGGGATACATGAACCAAGAACACCCAGAACTGCTGGACCAGTCAGGAATTTGGGTCGTCCCGCCGAGTTTCACTGTGGCTGTGAATTTAAATATATGCTAGTCCAAGAGCTGCCATTTCATGACGTAGAAGCCCAAAGAATTGTTCCCAGTGTTCATTGTCCCTGCCACAGCAGCTTTTTAGGTGAGGCTCTGACACCCGAGGAGTCTTGTGTATCTGTGTTCTCTTCTGATGTCAGATCCCGTCAGCTACGCCCTGGTGGAGCAACAGCAATGTACTTCACTGCTCTTCGTCCAGAACCTTCTGGAGCAGGCCGCTGTCTCTCAGCCACCAGCTCCTCCTGTCTCGGGCAGGCATTAGAGCAGCTGAGTCTAGGCCACAGTCAGTCCTGGGTATGACGGGATCTGGCCCCAGGAACTCTGAAGGTCCCAGATGAGAGGGAGGAGAATGGCACGTGCTTCCAGCAGAAGGCCAGCGGGTTACACCCTGTTTTAGGTGGGGACTCACTAGGTATCCCCAGCTCAGGGGAAGCTTTGGAGCCCTGCAATTTGGGCCTTCTTTTATCGCTCAGCCTAGATGTGTTGGCTTCCTGTGGCTGCCTGGTAAGTTCCCACTAACCAAGAGACTTAAGCCCACCTAGATTTATTCTCTCACAGTCCTAGAATTCCCTGCGCCCTTGGAAGGCTTTCAGGAAGGGAACCTGGCTCTGCTAGTCTCAGGGCTGTGTATGTGTAGATATAGAGATGTGGCTCCATCTCTGTTCTCTCTGCCTTCTCCTTCTTTTCTTCCTTCTCTCTCTTTTTTTTTTACTTATTTTTATTTAGATGTATATTCGTGTGTGTGTGTGTGTGTGTGTGTGTGTGTGTGTGTGGAGTGTGTGTGAGTGCAGGTGCCTGTGGTCAGAGAGAACATCGGACTCCCTGAATCTGGAGTTACAGGTGGTTCTGAGCTGTCCAACATGAATGCTGGAAACCTAGCTCGGCTCATCCAGAGTAGTCAGTGCTCGTGATTGCTGAGTCATTTTCCCAGCCTCTGTGCCTTTATTCACTTGTTTTTTTTTTTGTTGTTGTTGTATTTAGACAGTGCTGGGGATCAGACCTAGGACCCTAAGCAAGCACTCTGTTACTGAACTGCGTTCTGCAGCCCTGTGTGTGTTTGTGTGCAAGTGTGTGTGTGTGTTACTAAGGACTGAATCTTGCTTCTCATACATACTATGAGCAGTCTCATACTGAGCTACATTTCAGATTCTCCTTTGAATTTTATTTTTGAAACAAGTTTGTTTTGTTTCAAGTTTTTTTGCTAAGTTTTTCATGTGGCCTTGAACACTCCTATAGCCATGGGAGGCCATTGCTACCCTCTCGCTTCAGCTTCCCACATTGGCACCACCAGACCTAACTGTGCCTTCTGTTCTTACCAAGATCTGCATCACTGGATGTAGGGCCCACCCTAAACTTCCAATGGTTTAATCTCAAACTTGCTAACTTCATCATTGCTTTGAAGTGTGCCTTATGTTCGAGTGTGCATTCTACTTGCTGGCTGTCTCTGCCGGAGATCCAGTCTGGCACTGATAGAGAGTGTCATTCCTAGGTTCCAGGTCACGGGCAGTGCTGTGGAGACATGCTCTCTGGGCAGGAGGAGACAGTACCCTTGGGAACCTCTCAGGAGTCAACACTTGTTAAGGCAGAGCCAGAAGAACCACACCCTGAGGGGGCATCACTGGAGGACAGGGCTCTAGGAACTCAGGGCTGGATGCCCCGGAGTCCTGGCTCTAAGGAGAAAGCCCTGTTCCTGCCCAGTGGAGGTAGGAGAAGGGTGAACTTCCTCGGGGAGACATCCTGGGGAGAGTTGAGGGCTTTACTGAGGGAGGGGGAGCCCCAGATTTCCATGTGCATCCTGGCAGCCTTCGAGTGGGTGACTGGGGGAGCATCATGGCCTGGGATGCTGGCTGCTCTGAAGACCCTGTCTTCCTGCAGTTCTTCCCTTAACCTGGATTCCTGTACTTTCCCGAGCCGGAAGGACCAGAGAACAGCAGGTGGCTGCAGCTCTCCTCGCTGCCTGGTCCCAGGTGAGTGTCCCCTGAGGGTCCCCCAGCCTGCCTGGACAGAGCAGGACTCTTCCTGGTCCTCACATGGTATCAGTTTTTTCTGTGATTGGCACAGTGTGTGACTCCAGAGTGCTGCCTCCCATCCTGCGTGGAGTCAGAACCTCCTGCTGCAGGGCTGCTGGGGCCACCCAAGAGCCCTCGCTCACACTCACACGTGGGCTCACATCAGTCCTGTCCTCTGTCCTGTTGTTCTCTGAGAGATGAGCTTAGGGTGGAGACCATGTGGTGGCCTGAGCTGTGGCCATGTACCCGAAAATGCTGCCTTGCTCCTAACCATCACCTCCCGCAGAAGGCCACTCCTGGGTAGCTCTTCTGTCCAGCCTAATCAAAGTGATGAGGTCACTGGGGCAGCAGGTTGAAGGCCTGGCATTGTCATCTTTCTTACCACGCCCACAGCAAACACTGAATGGTGTTGTTTTCACGTTGTCGCAGATGCCGGTGACCTTTGAGGATGTGGCTCTGTACCTCTCCCGGAAGGAGTGGGGAAGGCTGGACCACACACACCAACATTTCTACAGGGATGCAGTACAGGAAAAAAGTGGCCTGGCTTTGGGTAAGGTCTCATCTGCATGGCGCCTTCCGTGGCCACGGGAGTGTTGAAGGCTGCCTGTCGTGGCCTCCCTACCCACCCCTCCACTCCGCTCCCCTTTCCTCTCTTCTTTACATGGACAGCACTGCCCTGCAGAACCTTCCACACAGGTGGAGATGTCTGTGTCAGTCCTAGGATGGTGACCACAAGCAAAGGGCCTGCTGGATTCTAGAAACACGATAGGAGGGATTAATTTTAAACTTTATTTGATCAGCTCAGATTGGAGTTTGGACAGCCAGAGTATTGGGAGTGATGGCTCACACTCCCAGCAGTCAGGAGGCAGAGGCAAAGGCTAGGGGATTGATGCTTCCATATGGAGTTCAGGCCTGCCAGGGCTAAGCAGTGACACTTATCTCAAAGCCAGGCTGGTTGGTGGCTGCGGCACTGCACAGTGTGGGCTCGCTGCATTGTCACAAGTACCGCCGTGTCCCGTCTCAGAGTCCCAGCTTCAGACATGGCCTCTCATCCGGATGTGCCGTCAGCCACCCTCACAGGTCCTTAAGCTAGAAGCATTGCCGCTGCTTCAGAGAACCTATGGGGCAAGATGGCTCCTCCAGGGTGGGGAGGGCTCGCATCTAAGTCCAGGCTTTTGATTCCTCAGTTCCAAACCGATCTTGACAGAAGTTGATATCTTCAGTTCTTCATTGTCATTGATCCATTATGTAGCTACCTCAAGTTTACTGGTTACAGTGGAATCCCTGAGCTTAAGCAGTGTATGTGCGTGTGTGTGTGCGTGTGTGTGTGTGTGCGTGTGTGTGTGCGTGTGAGAGAGAGAGAACCAGAGATTAGCCTGAGAGAAAGAGAACCAGAGGTTAGCCTTGAGTGTTGCTATTTCAGTGCTGTCCACTTTGATTTTTGATATATTTTTCAAGATAAGCTTTCTCTGTGTAGCTCTGGCTGTCCTGGAAGTCACTCTGTAGACCAGTCTGGCCTTGAACTTAAAGATCTGCCTGCTTTTGTCTCCCGAGGGCTGGGATTAAAGGAGTGTGTCACCACTGCCTGGCTCACTTTGATTTTTTTTTTTTTTTTGGTTTTTCGAGACAGGGTTTCTCTGTGGCTTTGGAGCTTGTCCTGGAACTAGCTCTGTAGACCAGGCTGGTCTCGAACTCACAGAGATCCACCTGCCTCTGCCTCCCAAGTGCTGGGATTAAAGGCGTGCGCCACCATCGCCCGGCTCACTTTGATTTTTTTGAGTGAGGGTCTTTGTCTTTCTTCTTTTTTTTTTTTTAATTTATTTGTTTATCATATATACACTTTCCAGAAGAGGGCACCAGATCTCATTACAGATGGTTGTGAGCCCCCATATGGTTGCTGACTGGGAATTGAACTCAGGACCTCTGGAAGAGCAGTCAGTGCTCTTAACCTCGGAGCCATCTTTCCAGCCCTAGAGAGTGTCTTTCATTGGTCTGGAACTCACCAAGTTGTCTCAGCCTGATAGCCATTGAGCTCCAGGTATCCAGACACCATCATTAGGACCACAAGCTTTTGCCACTGTGGCTTTTAATGTGGTTGCTAAGGATGGAACTTGGATCCTCACACAGGCTTAGCTGGAGGCCCCGTGGCCTTGGCAGTTCTATTGATGACTTGGATGGAGGCCCTGAGACCCATTCTGGGCACATCACCCACCCCACTCACGCCTGTAATTATCTCAGGTTTGCTCACTACCATTGTTAGCATTGCCTAGGGCCCAGACCAACAAGTCCCAGCAAACCCTGGACATCAGAGGGAGCTTAAGACTCAAGCGGGCCCTAACTAATGACCTAACAAATTCCTGTCTTCCATTGAGGTATGGGAGTCACAGCCCTCTGCTCTTACTGACTATACCAAACTCCTCAAGGACACAACAGTGTGTCCCTGGTAGCAAGCCACACAGGGAAGCACCTTACCACTCAGCCACACAGGCAAGCACCTTACCACGCAGCCATACTCCAGCCCTTCTAAAAGAATAAATGTATTTATTTATCCATTTGTTTAAATTTTGTTATGAGACAGGGTCTCTTATAGTGCAGGGTAGCCTTGAACTCGTCATGTAGCTGAGGATGGCCTTAAACTCCTAACCTTCCTTTCTCCACCTCCTAAGTGCTGGAATTCCACAGATGCGCCACTAAACCTGTGTAGTTTTGAATGGCCTTGAGCTCAGGCCCTCCCTCAGCCTCCTAGGGGCCGGTGTCTGTGCCTGGCTCTAAAGGAAATTTGTGAGTGTCTTTTGTTTTGCCTTAGGTTTCCAAGGCTCTTGTTCCCCCTTTTTCCTCACAGTCCAGTGGGGCTGGAGACGGGTATGATGGGAGAAGTGTGGTTTGGGGGTGATTCCACGACTGGACAGAAGCACACTTCTCTTTCTGGACAGGGTTTCCGTTTAGCAGACCTTTCTGGGTCCCCCAAGTTCAGGGGAAGGGCGAGGTGGCAAGTTCCAGCAGACCAACAGGAGCTGAGGAGAGGCGAGGCCTTGGCTCAGGTGAGGGCCTTAGCAAATACCTTCCTGGGTTTGGGGCTCCCCCTTGTGGGTGTGGATGCAGGACTCTCCAGATCTCTCTACTGCTGGAGGGTGGCTCTTGTCTTGAGGGGTTCCATGGCTTCCCCTTGCCTTTTCCTGACTCCCAGAATCTAGCTCCCGGGTTTTTAGCTCTGCCTTCCCATCTCGCGGGCTCTCCAGAAGGTTGTTCCCAGCTGGCAGTCCTGTCTTTTTACAGGAGCTGTGGAAATGGGGAAGTTGGTACCAACCCTAGCCATGGCAGCCCTAGGGGATGAGAAACCCTTAAGGACCAGGGCCAGGTGGGCTCCAGGGGAAGAGCCACGGTGTGGTCAGCAAGTGGCTAGCGGCCTAGATGCAAAGATGACCAGAGACGCTGGAGAAGCCAGGCAACCAAAGCCATCCCCACCCAACACATATCCTCTCAAGACCCCAAAGGACGGCGGTCCAGAGAAGCCCAGTGAGGAGGAGGGTGTCCTGGAAAGTGGCGAGGAGGGTCTGGTCCCTGACGGTGGAACAGGCAAGATGTACACGTGCACACAATGCGGCAAGGGCTTCAGCTGGCACTCGCACCTGGTGACGCACCGGCGCACGCACACCGGTGAGAAGCCCTATACCTGCACCGACTGCGGCAAGCGCTTCGGCCGCAGCTCACACCTCATCCAGCATCAGATCATCCACACGGGCGAGAAGCCCTACACCTGCCCCTCATGTTGGAAGAGCTTCAGCCACCACTCCACACTGATCCAACACCAGCGTATCCACACCGGTGAGAAACCCTACGTGTGCGACCACTGTGCCAAGCGCTTCACCCGCCGCTCGGACCTAGTCACACACCAGGGCACGCACACCGGCGCCAAGCCGCACAAGTGCCCTATCTGCGGCAAATGCTTCACTCAGAGCTCTGCTCTGGTCACACACCAGCGCACCCACACCGGCATCAAGCCCTACCCGTGCCCGGAGTGCGGCAAGTGCTTCAGCCAGCGCTCCAACCTCATCGCGCACAATCGCACACACACGGGCGAGAAGCCATACCACTGCCTTGACTGCGGCAAGAGCTTCAGCCATAGCTCGCACCTCACTGCCCACCAGCGCACCCACCGCGGTGTGCGGCCCTATTCCTGCCCACTCTGTGGCAAGAGCTTCAGCCGCCGCTCCAACCTGCACCGGCATGAGAAGATCCACACGACCGGACCCAAGGCTCTAGCCATGCTCATGCTGGGGGCGGCGGCGGCGGCAGGGGCGCTCACTGCACCCCCATCTGCTCCCACTTAGAAGCCAAAGAGCGAGCAAGCAGGGAGAACACCCAGGGAAGCTGGGTCAGTTCTCGCTGGTGCTAGGACACTGCGTCCTCGCCAGTAGGATGGACAAGGGTGAGGGCGGGAAGCTGTAAGGTGCCATTGCTGGCACCAGGTGGGACATGGTGATGGGAGGAGAAGGGAAAGCACTCTAGCTGCAGATTAAAGGCCCTGGATTTCAAGCTGTGGCCTGTCGCTCTATCTGCCCGGTTCTTAAGCCGATCTCCGAGCATCGGCAGCTCTTGGTTCTCTCAGGTGTCCCTGAGTCACCACTTTTGCCCTGGGAAGCCTCTCGTGCCTAACCTTGTCTCGGATCAGGGACCATTTGTCAGAGCTTTGGAGCCTGTCCTGGAACTAGCTCTTGTAGACCAGGCTGGCTTCGAACTCATAGAGATCCGCCTGCCTCTGCCTCCCGAGTACTGGGATTAAAGGCGTGCGCCACCACCGCCCAGCCATTGGGACATTTTTTAGGAAATTAGTTTTTGTGGTTGTTGTTGGTGTCTATATATGTGTATGCGTGGGGTGCGCATGTGCCACGTTGCACCTGTGGAAGTCCAAGGACAGCTTTTACAATTGGTTCTCTACCATGTGGGCTCCAGATATGGAACTCAAGTTGTCAGGCTTGGTTGGCAGTAGATGTGTTTTCCTGCTAAGACATCTGATTTTGTTTTTCGAGACCAAATTTCATGTAGGGTAGCTGGAAACAATCTTTGTTACCGATGCTCCTTGCCTCTACCTCCTAGGTACTTAGATCATAGGTGCAAACCACCCAGCTCATCTTGGGACCATAGGTCTGTAAACAAAGGCTCTGAGTTCAGCTTCCCAGCTGGAAGACAGCCAGTCACTTCTGAAAGTGGAGCCGGGGAAAGGGGGTCCCTTCAACTTGCATCATGTCACAAGGGACCTTGGCTCTCACTGAGCCCTATCCTCTCCTTTGGCTTTCATGTCGGGAACCTGGAGCAGGGAAACTCGTTTCCTGTCTACTGAATTGGATCACCTTCCTCGAGCTCCTGGCTATTTTGTGGGTATCTCTTCCATTTGCTTATGCTGGGGCCTGCCAGGGAAACCAAGAAGTCCTCACCAGGGACCACTCTCCCCTCTCATGCCTTCTGCAGCTACTACCAACCCTGCTGCTCACTTCCTTGGGATGTGCCATTTATAATGTGTGGTACCTTCCCATTTGGCTTTGAACAAAAGTTCTGATTCTTAACCCCTGTGGCATCCATTCCATCTGCTCCTTTCTGAACCCAGGGCCCAGCCTTATCCTGCACTGTGGCTCAGCTGCCACGAGAACACTCAGCTCTGATACCCAGAGAGGCCTCAGGGAACTGCATGCTGTCTGCAGCTCTGGGTGGTGCCTACCTTCTAAGGGAAACAGTTCTGTAGCTTGAATAGGATACAGAGAATAGTAACAATGGCTGCCCAGGCTTGGACAGAGCCAGCGGATCTGTTGTGTGTGTTGTCTACGTTACCTCTACTCTCTGGCAGGGTTTGCTGCCTCGGTTTTGTTTGTTTGTTTTATTTGTCTGTTTCACGTGCATTGGTGTTTTGTCTGCACGTCTGTCTGTTTTGTTTGTTTGTTTGTTTGTTTAGACAGTGTCTTACTATGTAGCCCTGGCTATCCTGAACCTTGCCTAGGAGACAGAGGCAGGCAGATCTCTGAGCTCAAGGCCAGCCTGGTCTACAGAGCAAGTTCCAGGACAGCCAGAGCTACACAGAGAAATCCTGTCTCAAACAAAGGTTTTATTTAGACAGGATCTCAGCCACCTGAAGCTGACCTGAAACTCACTGTGTAGTTAGGGATGACACTAACCACTGGCTCTGCCCACAAATTGCAGGATTACAGATGTGCTCTACCTAGCACACCTGGCTAGAGGGTCCTTTGTCAGAGGTCAGAAAGACAGACTGCTCTTGTCTTTCCTCTCTCTTGTCTGTGGACAAGTGTCGCTCAGCCAGCGATGGAATGTCTCTGTGTGGCTCAGAGTGAGGGGCTGAGGGGGCTCCCACCTGTGAGGTGAGCTTCTCTCCTAGGACCCTAGGACCCTTTAATGAAGGCCAGAGACTGCTTGCAAAGACTTGTGGGAATCCACTGGACCTTAGCGTACTGGCTCACTTGCATGATGGCTATTGTTGGCTGTGATTTCAGTTCCTCAGGCCGGATGCCTGGTGCACTGGGGGGGCAGGAAGCGAGTGCGTTCAGAAAAGAGTGGCACTGGGTCGAGAGAGATGGCTCAGCGGTTAAGAGCACTGCCTGCTCTTCCAAAGGTTCTGAGGTCAATTCCCAGCAACCACATGGTGTAATGAGATCTGGTGCCCTCTTCTGGACTGCAGGCATACATGCAGAAAGAATACTGTATGCATAATAAATAATTTAAAAGAGTGGCACCTTGGGAGCTGATGATTTGGTGGGTGGTGGGGTGTCACGAGAAGGTAGGAAGCCTGACGAGGGTCTTGATATCTGAGGGCTCATGCCACAGCTGAACGCCTAGTATACTAGTGTGCTACTGAGAAGAGCGAGGACAGCGAACACATTTCCTTCTGAGCTTCCTGCACCATGGCTCAGGGTCTTGGTGGAAGAAGAGTCGGGTAGAGGTGGAGGCCTGTGGATGCAGCTCTGGGCTAGGATTCCCTAGAGCTCTTTACGGGGTCAGGAATCTGACTACGACTTTTCCGGAAACCCTCCCTCCCTGTCCTCAGCCAGTCAGTTGCCAGGGAGATGGACGCCAGGAAAACCAACTAATCACCGTCGACGCTAGTCCAAGCAGCGCGCTATCGAGCCGCGCGGTTGTCCAGGCAACCGTTCCGGTTACTGTTCCTAAGTGGTCCTGTTTTCCAGTCTTTCAGTCTTCATGCTCCACCCTCAGAGGAACCAAAGACTGCTCACTGACTCCTGTCAGCTGCCTCACCTCACCGGGGCTCTTAGGGCTGTGACCCTGGCTTGCCTGAAACTCTCTCTAGAGAGATCAGGCTGGACTAGAACGTGTAGCGATCTCTCCCCTCTGCCTTTCACATGATGGGATTATAGGTGTATACCACTAGGCCCAGCTTTTATTTATTTACTCTTTTGATTCAGATAATTAAATTTTGTCTTCATACGGTTTGTGTTTAATTCTGTACGTGTATATTCATATTAAAGTTTGACATGTAAAAACTAGTAAACTTTTTAGCATAGTAAAAAAAACCCAGCTGATTATAGAAATATATATTTGCTCAGTGTTGGTGGCACACGCCTTTAATCCCAGCACTTGGGAGGCAGAGGCAGGCAGACCTCTGAGTTTGAGGCCAGCCTGGTCTACAGAACAAGGTTCAGGCCAGCCAGGACTGCACAGAGAAAACTTGTCTTGAAAACAACCAAAATTTTGTTGTTGTTGTTGTTGTTTGAGACAGGGTTTCTCTGTGTAGCTTTAGAACCTGTCCCAGAACTTGCTCACAGAGATCCACCTGCCTATGCCTCTGGAATGCTGGGATTAAAGGCCTGCACCATCACTGCCCGGCTCAATTGTTTTATGTGTATTTATCAAGTGTGGGACTTTTCTCCCCTTCTTCCCTTCCTTCCTTCCTTCCTTGTAGTAATATGGGGCGGCAGGGCTGCGTCCCCCACACCCGGCCGCCCACATGGCTAGCTTATGCTCCGAAATAACAACACACAAACTGTATTCTTTTAATCACTGCTTGGCCCATTCTCTTCTAGGCTAATTCTCACATATTAATTTAGCCCATTCCTAATCATCTGTGTGTAGCACCCCAAGGTGCGCTTACCGGGGAGATTCTAGCCTAGTCCATCCTGGGTCCGAGCTTCATCCCGGGAGCAGGGCATGGCGTCTCTCTCAGGCGTCTGCTCCTGCGAGGAAAGCGGTCGAGTCTCCGAGCTCACTTCCTCTTCCTCCCAGCATTTTGTTCTGTTTACTCCTCCCACCTATCCTCTAACCAATAAAATGGGCCAGGGCAGTGCCTTTATTAGCCAATGACCTTCCTCCATCACTTCCTTCCTCCCTCCTTCCTTCCCTCCATCCCTCTCTTTCTCTTTCTTCTTTTTGGGGACAGGGTCTCTACATAGTCCTGGCTGTCCTGGAACTCACTATGTAGACCAGGCTGGCTTTGAATTCAGAGATTCACCTTCCTCTGTCTACCAAGAGTTGGGATCAAGCACAACCACACTTGGCAGCATTTTCTTTTTTATGCGTATGAATATTTGTCTTTATGCATTTCAGCATACCAGGTGCATGGCTGGTGCCCGTGGGGGCCAGAAGAGGGCGTCAGAGCCCTGGAACTGGAGTTACAGACAGTTGTGAGCTAATGTATGGGTGCTGGGAATTGAACCCGAATCCTCTGGAAAAGCAGCCAGTTCCCCCCAAGACTGAGCTGTCTCTCTAACTCTGTAGTTCAGAGGACGACTTTTCTCCTTCCACCACGTGGGCCCCGGGGATGGAGCACAGGCTGTCAGTTGTCTTTACCTGGAAAGTCATCTCACAGGGTCTTGCTCTGGAGGTTTCACAAGCCCAGTCCCTCTTTGTGGTGGACAGTGAAGGACCAGACCATGGGACTTTACATTTTTCTCCACAAATCCACATTTTGGGCAGGCAGACTGTTCTCATCACCATCTCTTAGTTTACTGGCCCTGGAGATTCTAATGTTGGAGAATAAAAACCCAAAATGGTTGCACGGGCCAGGAAAGCTGAGACTTAAAAACACAGAAACAAACAGAGACCGAGTCACACAGAGAGAGACAGACGGAGACACGGCCACTCTTGATACAAGAGTGCCAATGCCACTTTATTGTGCTCAGGGGCACCTGATATAGAAATCCCTAGCCACGCCCAGCTCTGGGGATCTCTCCGCTGCAGACTCATCAGAACCCTCTCCCCTGCCATCAAGGTCTTGTGCTCAGAGCAGCTGCAGGCAAAGAAAGTCAAGGGCCGGGATCTATAGCTCCCAACACTGGAGATTCTGCTATCTGTGGTGTGGGGCTGGGCATGGGCTCTGGGCTATGTGAGGGCTAAAGAAGATACTGTGTCTGCGCCTGCCCATGAGTAAACACTAAAAGTTATCAGCTTGAGGTTTGCGACTGACTTTGGGTCCTCTGCCTCTGGGACATCTCCCTCTAGATCCTGATTCTGTTCTGGACTCTAGTTCTAGATTCTGTCAAGCTGATTTTTGGAGTATTTTGGAAGTTGGATTATTTTGAATTCCAGAAGGGCTGACCAGTCGCTGGCAGTATAAAATCAGACCCTGTTTTCTTCCCAGAACTCCTTTTCAAAAAGCCGTCTAAAAACTAAGTCAGGTGACACAAGACCTCTAGAACAATGTTACTTCTCAGCATCTACTCAGTCCTGAAGCCGGGCTGCTGGCCCTGAAGCTGCGGGACAGCGTGGCCGACACTGCCATCTTGTGGCCACACACGAGGAGCCGCTGCAGCCTGAGGAGCCCGTGAGACCGGCTCCCACCAATGTGACTTCTTGGGGTTGGGGGTACTGCCCGCGGCCCCTCAGTGGCTTCTTTATACTGGGGTGCTCGCTGCCACTAGGGTGAGTTCTATTCTTTGCAATTTTTGCTTTCGATTGATGGAAAGCAAAATGAAAAAGAAAACAACCAACACTTCCTTTTGAACAGCCATTGTTTTGTGTGACCTCTGCAAAAAGTCCTGAGGTGGAATTGGCTTTCAAAAACGGAGACGGAAGATGAATGACGTGTGGATCCAGCAGAGCCAGCATCTGGAAGGAGGGTGAGAGATCGGGCTTTGTTCCGGGTTTGGACTTTTGTGAGTGACCACCGGATGGAGTGGAAAGGTTCACATGTAACTCTCTCAAGCGGATGCACCCGGACACCGCATCGCGGAGCAATAAATCGTGCTTGGGAGCCGGTAGGGGCTCCGGAGCTGTGGCAGGCAAGGCAGTGGTATGATCTCTGGATGAGGAGGGAGCGGGTGATTCAGAACTCTCCTCAGTTGGCTGGACAGGAGGAACTAGGGCTGACCTTTAGGCTTTTGGCTGCGGTGCAGCCTAGAGGACTGAGCTGGAACCCAGGGACATTTAGGACAAGATAGGAGGTAGGTATAAGGTCTGCTGGACAGACTAGTTGTAACTATCGAGCCGCTGAACCTGTTTTGAGGGGCTTTGAGCTCTTCTGATGGATCTGAGGACTTGAGTCTCTGCACCTTCCAGATTTTGACTGCCAGTTTTGCAGGGACCCTGAGCCCAGAAACTGCACTAAGATTTTTTAGCATCTTGGGCCTGTGCCAGGCTGGGATTTAAAAGCTTGCCTGTTAGCCGGACGGTGGTGGCGCATGCCTTTAATCCCAGCACTCGGGAGGCAGAGGCAGACGGATCTCTGTGAGTTTGAGGCCAGCCTGGTCTACAAAGGGAGTTCCAGAACAGGCTCCAAAGCTACAGAGAAACCCTATCTCGAAAAATAAATAAATAGGGCTGGAGAGATGGCTCAGCGGTTAGGAACATTGCCTGCTCTTCCAAACGTCCTGAGTTCAATTCCCGACAACCACATGGTGGCTCACAAACCATCTGTAATGAGGTCTGGTGCCCTCTTCTGGCCTGCAGGC